TCATCTAGTCCAACCCCTGCACACGCAGGGTCACCTAGAGCACGTGGCACAGGGCTGCGTCCAAGCGGGTTTTGAAGATCTCCAGAGAAGGAGACTCCACAACCTCTCTGGGCAGCCTGTTCCAGTGCTCTGTCATCCTCACTTTCAAGAAATTTTTCCTTAAGTTCCTGTGAAACTTTTGGTGTTTCAGTTTCCAGCCGTTTCCTCTAGTTCTGTCGGTGGCCACCAGTGAAAAGAGACCAGCCCCATCCTCCTCACGGCCTCCCTTGAGGTACTTCTAGACACTGCTCAGGTCCCCTCTCAACCTTCTCTTCTCCAGGCTGAACAGGCCCAGCTCCCTCAGCCTCTCCTCATAGGGCAGATGTTCCAGGCCCCTGATCATCCTTGTAGCCCTGCGCTGTGTTCTCTCCAGAATCCTTTAAAAATCCTTTGTCTTTAAAAATAATTTCTGAGGGCAAATTTACTATAATTATGGTGTATTTTCTCTAGTAGTAATTTTCCTGCAGTGATTTGTACTACCTCGTTAGTGGATATTTGTTTCCTCCCATCCAAGAGTAGTGCTCTGGTATGGTATCGCATTCCATCTCTGGTTCCTTGGTCTGGGGATGCTACCCTTGCCTGCAGCTTGCATCTTGCTACTGTCCTTGGGCTGCCTCAGCTACTGGAACAAATTACTAAGTAAACTGTAAGCGGATAAAGACCTTTTGCAGATTATTCTGAAAAAGCATGCAAGCACTTACGTGTCTTTCCAACTTATTGGCAAAGCAATCTCTGTCTCACTCAGGAGCAGAGTAAGAACTGTGGTAAGTGCCTCAATCAGGGAGGGCTGCCTGAGAGTGGCTACATGAGCATTCTGCCTGCAGAAGAGAAATAGGGTATTTCTGTTTGTGCTAGGCATCCATTTGTAAAATGAAAAATGCCTGCTCTACACCTGACCTAGTGTACTTTGTTTACTGGGTCCTTGTATAATATCAGGCAGTCAGCTTTAAATTCCCACCTCTAACTTGTTTGTCGTCCCCTTTCTCTGTCTCTCCTGTGCTCACTCTCTTGCCTCCCTGTTTTGCTGTATGCACTTTGTGCCTGACCTGCAGGACTTGTCCAGTGGGAAGAGGCTATTTTTCACATTATATTTGTTGAAAACATACCTGCTCTTACATTTACAGCTAGAGGTACTCATCCAGTTCCTGAGAACCACCCATGCAGTTTGGCTTACGTGGCCTTTAGGGTGTTTGCAATACTTGGACCCTTCTGTCATAGGTTTCATGGCAGCCCTTCATCTTTTTTTTTTTTTTTAATGTATATATATATAACAAATATTCCTCCTAGAGCCAGTTGCTGACTACAATGCTTACAAGGTCAACACATCTGTATAACCTGGACAAATCCATCAGAGATGGCAAGGAGTGGCATTAATGAGCTCTGAGAATGAAAGGACTGCAGGTAGTGTTTGTCTCAATTGTTTGATTGATCAACAAGCTATTTATAAGAAGTAAAGTTATAAAAAAGGAGTATCTTTAAAGAGTCATAGACTATAGCTATGACTTTTCCCAAAGCCAATCTTTTCTTAAAAGTCTCAGAACTGTTTTGGGGCTAAGTGAATAGTAGTGTGTGTTTATTTTCCTTGATATGAGGATAAATATCCAAGTCGAATATGTACCTATTTTTTTTCTCAATTTTTGCATATTCTGATTATATACATTTTTTCCTTTCCTTCCTGCTTATTTGGATTGCTCTTTGTGCACAGCAAATTCTTCAGATATATTGGACCTGAACTAATGAATTTTTGCATTCTGAGCATTGTCCTGTTTGCCCACATTATGTCTAGTCAACGCAGAGACTCTTGTTTCTGAAATGATCCCTGTTCATTGGTTCACTTGCTTTCTTATTAAAGTCATATGGGGTGGTGGTGGTGTTACTGTTTTAAAAAAGTTACTAATAATAATTCAAGGACACAGTAAAAGAAGCTAAAAAATGGTCCCTAGTTCACCTTATCCAAAGCATTAAAATGTTTCTACTTTTTAAAGAGCAGATTGTGTTACAGTTTAGCTGTTTTTCCTAAGTTTTTGGTTCAGCTTCCATACTGCCATCTTCCTTCTGCTCTGCTTTTCTTGACTCCTCAGAGCTGTAATTCAGCTGCCGCAGGAGTTTTTCCTTTTTGACTTTGTCAGAGAAATTTCAAATATAAATGCTTCTGCCATATGTGATGCTATTGCATCCTTTTTTTTTTTTTTTTGGCTTCCTTTTAGTGGTTTATATTTTTTGTTGAAATTATTGAGAGTTAGGAACAAGTACAAAGATAAATCATTTGGGGGCACCTAGTTGTGGCTTGAATTGAACAGATATAAAACTCGGTACCATTTTGGAGGGGAAAATGTTGCATTTACAGCTAACTGGAATCTTCATTCATATTTCTTAGATAAGCAAAAAGCCACTTTCGTCTCATAATCCGTCCCTCATTGCTATGTGTCGTGATTTATTTTTAAAGTAATAATTCATTTTAAGTATGAATGTCTATGCCTGAATGCCTCAAAGTGTTCTTTTGTTCTATTGTTCTATACAAATGCAGAACAATAACAATATTTCTATCTAAAAGCAATAGTCAACCTACTACCCTCAACTCAAGAAAATAAATTAACTGTTTTTAATTACAATGCCCAGACTACGTCTTAAGATTCATTACCAAATTATTCCATATATTCTTGATGAATCTGTCCTTTCTTGAAACCTTTCTAGCAGCTACAACCTGGTTTAATCCAGCTCAAGTAGGTATCAAGTTTGTATATTTTCTGGAAAACTTCATGCTTTACCTGCTGGAAAGCAGTTTACCTGGAAAGCAGGTAAACAAGCTGACTGCAGTGGCAATTGTGGGGTGGTATCAAGGTAAAATCCTTTAAATTTGCTCGTTGCAGAGAATTAGCTTTAGGAATATAAATCTTTCTAACCCTTCTGGTAGTCTCCAGATTAACATAGTTAATGCCATCTGAAATTACTACTAGAGATGCTGTTGGACTGAGATGCTTCAGTCACAGAGGGACTGCGATTGACGTGGGTGAGCAAAATATGCTGTGCTGGGGTTGTACCTACCAGATCAAAAGCCCATTGGAGCCAAAATGCTTCCATGGACTTCAGGCTGTTATACCTGAAACCCACAAGCAGAATCTTGACCACTAGTTTGTCCTGGAAGCAATTACAGAGGAGTCTATTCACATTTGCACAATGTTGCCCTCCTTTTTACCTACATCTGAATATTCAGTGCTAATCCTCTTACTGCTTATGCCTCCCTTAAAACTATGTTGAAATATGTGAATATTGAATTATGAATGCATGAATATTATGCTAAAAATTAACTTTGGATAACTTGTCGGGAAAGATGTGTCATGAATATGAGCTGATGACAAGCTTAATTAACATCACTGGAAAATGTGAAAGCTGTAAAAAAAAATAGGTCAGGAAAGAAAGTAAAATTAAAAAATAAATAAATTGCAAAAATTTTAAGGCAACCCACCTTAGCTGAACTGCTGGATCTCTTAATCTGAATAGGTCAAAATTGTTATTACCAGCTGTCAAGGGTCCAGCTAGGTTCTTGTTCTGCCTGGCCGTTAACATCCTCTTTATGTCTCTAGATCATTGGTGTTTTTCTCCCTGCTTCCCTTCCCTTAGAAGACAAATGCATGTATCCCTTATTCCACTCTACCAGAGATATGGTTCTGTGTTTGGCTGAGGCTGCTCGAGGCTGAGGATTCCAGGAATGGGACCACTTTGGTCACACCATTCAGTCTCACCTTCCGGTCTCCGGAAGACTGCAGGCAGCACAGCCAAAAAAAAAACCAGGATTCCAGAACCTGCAGGAACACCACCACTTTCCAGCTTCATAGACCTTTCCCAGCAGGAGGCAGAGAGCATTAAAGACGCCACGAATTTGAGAGAAGTGGATTTGTCAAAAGAGCCAGCTCAGGCATTTTGGCAGAATAATGTGTTTGGGGTGTTAGTTCAAAAGTGGCTGTTGACCTCCTGGGTAGAACAGCACAAAATTTTAAGCTTTCACATAAAATAGAAAGTTAGGGTGAAAGAAAATTGGAAAGAAATACATCGAAATGCATATTTTGGAAACCAAACGACACTTCAGTTTAATAGGGATTGCTGTCAAGTTTAGGTAACATCTTTGGAAAATGTGAAAGATGTAAACAAAAGGGCAGGGAAGAAATCAAAATATTAATAAAAATTAAAATAAAAGATCCTGTCCGACCATTTCTTAGTATTTCACAAATGACTAGGAATGAGGGCTATAAAATTTAATTCTGTTCTTAAGGAGTTACGCAAGAACTTCTAAAGCAGTTTCAAAGAAGCATAATTACAGAAAATATGGCTTACAGAAAAGCAACAAACCCAATCACCTGAAAGCTACTCTTAGATTTTACCATCTCCATAGTTACTAATTTTGTATGTACGGTCAGTGGGTTGCTAAAAGTGCAAAGAGCCTTTTTTTCCTAGAGATGTTGCAATGTAATCTGCACCTTTGCTGACGTTTGTTTTCCCTATGACCTCCATATTTTAGCTTTCACGATGGAAAAAGGGTTAAGAAATCCTGGTATGCTACATAAAGTGATTTCAAAGGTCAGCTGTTGGCAATCAGTTTTGTGCAAGTATTGCATATTATGAAAGTAAGCAGATAAGGCACTTCTTAATTTTTATTTTAGGTTTTTATATCCAGAGGTGGAAAGAAATGCACTTGATTTCTCTTTGGACATTTACATCAATTTAGTGGTGGGGTTGGAAACTTGTAGTTGGGATATTCCTGCATTTACTTGACAGCTAGGCTCAATGTTGGAGCTTTATTTAATTGTTATTACCACTGAAACCGTGACTTAATATCTAACCTGACATCGTTAATAGTTTGTAATTTATGTACACTTTCTGTTACTTTAGGAGAATTCTGAATAGGGTTTCTGGGATAGTTTGAATTCCAGAATGTCATTTCTAATCCAAACAGCCTTACAGTGCAAACAGAGACTTCATCTCAGTACTAGTTTGATTTCAGAACATCTGCCTGCTCTGTTTTCTCCAAGTCTTCGCTCTCATATGAATTCTCCTATCATATTAATTGTCACCAAGAGTGACAAATTCTTCTGTGGCAGAACTCGACACTACCTGGGAAATGTGTCCTCAAAGCCTTCTTTCCTTCTGTAGTTTTGCACAGGTTCTGCTCTCTGGGCGCTTCTGCTAAAGGCAAATTGTAGGGCTTTATTTCTCTAGCTAAAACCTGACTGCCAAAATTTGTTTGCCTTTCATCCCTACTTTCTGAGCAGTGTTCCTCATCAGCTTTCACAAAATGGCTATTTTTACATATTATTAAATAAGAGTTTCAATAGTAGAGTTTTTGCTTATCCCTTCCTTCCTTCCTTCCTTGTAGTCACTTGGGTCTCTGTATTTATTAAGGGTTTCCCTAAAGAAATGCAAAGAGGAAGGCCTATGTTTTTGTGACCTCAGAATTGATAGTAAAGTGCATGTCAGTGAAAACTCCAGTATAATCAAGTAAGCATAGTAATAAATAAACAAGGCTTGCAAAGAAATAGGGTTTAAATTCTATTTGCCAAGTTGGAAAATCTTCCAGTCCTGCTAAAGAGCCCTGTCTCAGTGTGTTTTAATAAATCCAAATTTTTCAAGGAAACGCCCTACTTATTGTAGGAAAGTTGCTTTGGTGCTAATTCTTCTCTTTCTCCTGATGAGAGGATTAGCTCAGGGTCTTGAAAAGTGCAAAGGAATCCAATCTGTCAACTTAAAAGCCTTTTTCCATTTGCAAATAAATAAATGAATTGACTTAGGAAGTCTGTGCAGCACCACCAGATGATGAATCTCATGTTTTCCTCTAGGTCACAGTGAGTAGTAGATGTATGTCATTTTTGGCATTTCTTTACAATCAAAACTCAACTGGCTTTCTGTATTAGAGAAGCCCTTATAAACTCATACCTTGTCTAATACAGACCTGTCCACATTTCTTTCCCTTCTCTAGAGGTCTTCTAAATGACTAGCTTGGATAGAGCCGTCATTGTTTTCAATGGGTTTTTATTAATTCCTTCCCAATATTCGAACAAGCAGTCTGAAATTCAGTTTTTAAAAGAACTACTGTGCTTTCACTGCTTATTAAATATTTTTTAAACTCCTAATTTCAGAAAAGGATTTCTGATGAATTGTAGTATGAACTTTCTAAGTGAAAGGTTCTTTCAAAGAATGCTGCTTTTAGATACTTTTTGAATTTATGGCCTAATAGATTCCTAAAGGACCATTCAATTATACTTTTGCATTACTTCTGAATATATTTCTTCCAAGAGAAGTCATGTGAATTAAGCTATCCACATTTAGTGATGTGTCCCTCTCAGGGGACACACTATCTGTGATACTTTAGAACTACTCGACATATAACATTTTAGAGGCTCATGTATGTTTATATACCAGTCATATGGTTTAAGAGCAGGTGTATTATTAAGATGCTTTGCAAGGCCAGGCAGCCAAAGATTGGATCCTGGTCTGCAGTGCTTTAAAGTAGTTTTGGACAAGTCCCATTTTCAGTCTTCAAGTTTTCCCAAGAGGTTATATCTGATAAAACATTGTTTTATCACCAACAAAGATAAATTCACATCTGAGGTTTTTGCCTTTGGTTGTATAAACATGTATATTTATAAGGAAATTACTTTTTTGGGGGGGAGGGGGAGAAGGGGCTAAACTGTACTTAAACAGCTGAGAACAGGAGCTGATGAAAATCATGCATGAGGTCTTCCATATACTGTCTGCTCCAAGGACTTTTCTCATTTTAATCTCTATTCATTAATAGTGAGTTCATTTCCAGGGAGTTTTTGAATGTTGTTGCTTTTTTTCCAAGTCTCTTCACTCTCCAAAAATATTGTTTCTGTCTCTCCATCAATGATGGAGAAACAAGAAAAAGGCACAGCAAAAAAATGAGAGACAATAAAATATAATTGTATTATGTTGGCTTATCAACCTCTTTTTACTGTGTGGAGTAGTAGGAAAGAACATACTGACTGCCCAGATGTTCTCTGAACTGCCAGACCAGCCTTACTATAGCATCTCCTGCCACTGAAAGCAGGAAACCTGCAAACTGGGCTTTACCTCCAAAACTCTAAAAGGGTTGTTTATAAATAAGAACACAGAGAATGGAATTTAACGTAGATGCATTGTTATTCTTCTCAGTACACATGTTCAGTTAAGAGTAAGGCGTTTGCTTTTTGTTAAAAGATTAGCTGTATTTTCAAGAGAAGAAAAAGACAGAAGATGATAATTCTTTGAGGAAAAGAATTTTGAGAGGAAGATACATAAAATCAGTATTTTAGGTGTGGTTTAGGATAGATACTAGCAGTGTTGGGAAATGTAGAATATAAATAATTTATATTTATAGTATAAATATAGTTTATATTTATATTTATAAATATAGTTTATATTTTTTTTTTTTCCCTTTAGAATTTAAATATAATAGCTCTAAGAATTTCTGATCTAATAGACAAGATGGAAACTGAGGGAGATGATCTTATAATCAGAACAGCAGTATGAGTAAATATAACCTAAATTTAGGAAAGGGAAAAGATGATGAGGAACAGAGATTATTTAAAAATGAAAGGCCTGGTGGGAAATTCTTCGGATAAGATTATGACAGTGGAAAGTAGAGCAGAAAGAGCTTAGGTCATTGCCAAAAGGTTTAAAGGTGGTAAAAGTCACCTAGGCTTTGGGAACATTTCCAAGTCACTATATACTACTGTCCTACCAACTAGGAAGGGTCTAGTGGTTAGAAAAGGGAATAGCAAAAATAACAAGAAGTCTACCATTTTGTGCATCAGGTTTTGGATCCATTAACCACTTAGTTTCATTCACTTGTTTACTGCTTTTTCAACATATTTCAAATGCCCAGTTAAGCCCTGTCTATTGCATTATCATGTGCCATGTAAAATGTTTGCTCTTGATAGTCTTCAGGGCTGAGGGTAATAGGCTTTTGTTTTCTTTCCTCTTTTCCTTCCATCCAGACATTCACTGCTGGTGTGTTTTAAATTACAGTCATCCCTTATGCAATTGTTCCAATTCTCTTAGAATATTGTGCTGCAGGTTAGTACAAGTTTTATTGGTTCATTCATTTCTGGATGTTAATCACTGTATTAATATTGCACTTCTTTGAGGACACCTTTGAAAAGAAGTTAAGATGCATAGTAAATTGAACACATAAAGAAATTCAAACATATTAGAACATAATTTGCTTGTTAAGCACCGTGACCTTTAGGTTATTCTATTTCAAGATCTTTTTCTTCTATACCCTCTAAGCTACATGGAAACAAATCGCTCATTACCCAAAATATCCACCCTGGTCTTAGACTGTATTTGGAATTCTCTCCCGTTTCAGTCAGGCTGCTGAGCAGACTACAAATCACCTGTATGCAGAGCTGTGCTGAAGGGACTCAGGAAGCGTATACCAGCTTTCTACTGAAAATTTTGCTCTGATTTATTCACAGAGAGGGGAGAAATGCTTTGAACATGCCAAGGAAGACCTTGTTGGTCCTGTAATCAATCAGAATCTTCCAAGCAGTGATGCAGATCATCGTGCTCATGGTCCCTATATTTACGTTCAAGAAGCCAGCCAAAAGATGACAGATACAACTTTATCAGACCAAGTCATTTGCCTTACATGATGAATTGAACTCACTTTTGGTTTCAGTTCTCATTTTTTGTCCTTTTTGAACTTTAGTAAACAAAATTCAATCAGTTGCTTCCCAGAGCTTTTTCTCAGATTTGTTTAGACTTTATTCCTCTTTTTTTTTTCTCTGTCTCTTTTTTTTTTTTTCCCTTTAGAATAACTGGCATAACTGAATGCTATGAACGTGGCTTTCTTGTGTGTTGCTACTGATAATGATAATAATAGCATGGTCTAGGATTTAGCAGGTATGGTAAAACAGAAAAGTGCACAGAGAGGACAGACAAGGGTTCACACTCACTAGATGCCTTGGGACAAAACACTTTGAATTTTTCCAAAAGTGATAAATTAAGAACAGTAAGGTCTGGGGAGAGGGGTTGTTATATCTCCCTTATGGACTTTAAAATTTGTGAGATCAGGACTCTGGGGTACAGTGACTTCCTCGCTGTTTCTGTAGGTTAAGGCTAACCCTGGCACGAGATAAACTTGAAAAAAGGTAAAACCTCAAGGAAATTAAGTTTTCAATACATATCTGTAAGAAAGATGTTTGTAGCTATAAAACTGGTTCTACTCAACATAGCTGTTATTCCAAAACAGGACAAGATTCGCTGCCCTGTGGCATTGGCTCCGTTGCTCTAATTTTCTCTACTTCTTTCTTTTTATTGTAACCTCTATAAAAATAATGGGAGTTTATTAAAGAAAATACATTTTCAGGGTTTCTTTCCTCCCTTCCTTTGTTTGGAATTTCCTTATAGAAATTGGGGGTTAGTGCAGTACTCATCTGTGAATGTAAATACAGCTAGCCAGATGGATTTATGGCATTCTTACCAAACACTCAATGTCATGATATTTTATATGATATTTTACAAAACAGTTTAGTATGTCAGGGTTGAGAAGTTCTCTGGAGTGCATTGCAGTTGCTTATTGTTTGCTTTAGACATCAGCATCACCAGGTTAATGGGGGGAAAAATGATCTTGCTTTAGTTCAGGTGTCTTGAACTGAATCTGGTGTGATTGAGGTGCTTTATTTGATTTTTAATAGAGTATGCAAGGAAAGAAGAACATGTATTTTTAGATTCTCTTGGAGCTTCTGAGATCACAGGAGGCCATCTTTCCCTCTTTGCTGCTTCTACATGAATACGCCGATTAATGCAGATGTGAGTTATGTAGTAATATCCAGGGGAGAATTTTATGGCAAGAGCTCAGGCACGGCAAGCCTGATGGGGTAGCAAGGAGGAGAGAATAAACAGTGATTTTCCAGTGGCAATTTGAAAAGACTGTTGAGGACTCTGTCTTTAGAAAGACATCTCATCCCTTCTGCTGTGTTCATACTCCTAGACTCCTAAAATAATACACATCATCAGAAGATTGCTGAAGAATCCAGTGCTGCCCGTAAGGCAGATATGGTTTGATTTTTGATTGTAGGTGGGAGAAGTTCTGCAAACTTGAAATGCAAAGTGGAACAGAGTCTGGAAAAGTGAATAAAGTAACTCAAGCAGTCATCAAAGTCAAAGAGAAAGGAGAGAAGCTAATAAGGTCAGAGACATCAGCATTTGGGAGTTGTAGATCAAATGGGAGCTGAAAATGTGGTGCAGAAATATTTAGAAATGTATGTATTTGCAAGCTATCAGGAGAATTATTTGAAATCCTTCCTTTCTTTTCTCTACTTGTTTTTTCCCCACTGTTTGGAACTATGACTATCTGAAATCATGAAATGTTTCTGTGAACTTTCCAAGGAGTGATTTTTATAACTTCTTGCTTCATAATATTTGTCTATGTTTTAATCAGCTGGAAGGAGGAGCATCTGCTATGGTGAGCAAGTGCATAGCAGCAG